GCCCGGCGCTGGAGGCGAGCTGCTGGAGCTGGGGGTGCTGCGGGTGCTGGAGGTTCTGTTGCTGCCGAGGGAGCTGGTACCACGGGTCCCGGAGGTGCTCGTACTGAGAGTACTGGAGCTGCCGGGCCCGGGGGTGCCTCTGGAGCTGGAGCTGCTGCGGGTGCTGGCGCTGAGGCTACGACTGTCGGTCCTACTGAGGGTAGTTCTGGCGCTGCTGGAGGTGCTGGAGTTGGAGCTGCTACTGGTGCTGGAGCTGCCTCTGGACGTGTTGGTGCTGTCCCTGCTGTCTCTGGCGGTGCTGCGCGGCCTCGGCCGTACTTCGTTCCGCTCCTTCAGCAGGTTCTTGGTCTCCCGCCTCCCACTAGTCCTTCTCCTCCCGTAGAGTGTCCACAGCCTGTCCCGTCGTAGTCACAGTTACAGCCCGCCTCTCCCCTGCCTTCTCCTTCTCCCTACACTAGTCCTACTGGAGGTCTTGCTGAGCGTCGTGAGCCTGCGTCCCGCCCTGCGTCGCCAGTCCGAGCTGCTCGCCCTAGTGGTCGCGGTTCGCGTCAGCGTCCTCCTCCTGTCCCTGGCACACACGGGATGTCTCTGCGTCCGTCCACTGCTCCTCTGCGTGCCCCTTTGCCTTCTCCTCCTCAGTCTTCTCTTCCTACACTTGCCGACCCTGAGTCGGACTCTCGTCGTGCTGCCAGTCCTACTGTCACGCGTCTTCTTGCTACTCTTGTCACTGACCCTTCCTTTGAGTCCGCTGCTGCGTCTGCCCTAGTTGCTGAGCTGGTCGACTTTGCTGCTGCGTGTCGTGTAGACTACGCTGCCAGTCTTGTTGCTGAGTCTGCTGAGTCTGCGTCTGCTGCGTCTGCGTCTGCCTGTCCTCCGTCCGTCGGGGGTGACTGTGCTCTTGGCACCGACGTCCTTGAGGACAGGCAGGAGGAGTTCCAGTGCTTTGCCGCCGCTTTGCCCCATCTCGTGTCCATGCTTGTTGCCCCTGAGGGAGACCCGGATGCTCTAGACATCCCGACCCCACGCTCTTACGCAGAGACGATGGCCGGTCCCTACTCCTCTCAGTGGCAGTCAGCCATGGACGCAGAGATGGCTTCCTGGAAGTCCACAGGCACCTACGTTGACGCTATTCCCCCTCCTGGGGCGAACATTGTCAGTGGCATGTGGATCTTTAGGGTGAAGCGGACGCCGGGTTCTCCGCCTGTCTTCAAGGCGCGCTACGTGGCTCGTGGCTTCAGTCAACGACAGGGAGTTGACTTCTTTCAGACCTTCTCCCCGACCCCGAAGATGACCACTCTTCGGGTTCTACTGCACGTCGCTGCTCAGCGTGACTACGAGCTACACTCTCTTGACTTCAGCACTGCTTTCCTGCAGGGCCGCCTGCACGAGGAGATCTGGCTGCGCCGCCCTCCTGGCTTCACTGGGTCGTTCCCTCTTGGTACCCAGTGGAGCCTCCGGCGGCCAGTCTACGGTCTCCGCCAGGCGCCGCGTGAGTGGCACGACACACTGAGGACTACACTTGCGGCTCTTGGGTTTGCTCCTTCTACTGCTGACCCGTCGCTGTTTCTGCGCACCGACACCTCGCTGCCGCCGTTCTACATCCTCGTGTACGTCGACGACTTGGTCTTTGCCACTGCGGACACTGCCGCACTCGCCCACGTGAAGTCCGAGCTGCAGAAGAGACACACGTGCACAGACCTGGGTGAACTGACAAGCTATCTTGGCTTGCGGATCACCCGGGACAGAGCACGCCGCACCATTACCCTGACTCAGTCACACATGGTGCAGCAGGTCCTTCAGCGCTTCGGCTTCACGTACTCCTCGCCTCAGTCCACTCCTCTGCCTACGGGACACTCGCTCTCAGCTCTGCCTTCGGATGAGTCCGTAGAGTCGAGTGGTCCGTATCCAGAGCTTGTGGGCTGCCTCATGTACCTGATGACCTGCACTCGACCTGACCTCGCATACCCTCTCAGCATCTTAGCACGCTATGTTGCTCCCGGCCGTCACCGGAAGGAGCACATGGATGCAGCTAAGAGGGTGTTGCGCTACTTGTGCAGTACGTCGGGCAAGGGGCTAGTGCTTGGAGGGCGTGAGCGGCCTGTGCTCACTGGGCACTCAGACGCTTCTTGGGCTGACGACCAGGCTACTCAGAGGTCGTCTCAGGGTTACACCTTCAGTCTTGGCTCTGGCTCTGTCTCTTGGCGCTCTACTCGCTCTTCTTCGGTTCTCAGCTCCAGCTGTGAGGCTGAGATCTACGCCACGGCCATGGCTGCCCAGGAGCTTCGCTGGCTCACCTACCTGTTGACTGACCTTGGAGAGCGGCCTGTTCTCCTCCAGTGCTGTACGTCGACAACAAGGCAACCATTGCCTTGTGTCAGGAGCACAGACTGGAGCACAGAACGAAGCACATTGCTCTGCGCTACTTTCTTGCTCGAGAGCTGCAGCAGCGTGGTCAGCTTCGCTTGCGTTTCGTGGCCACTGAGGCCAACACTGCTGATGTGTTCACCAAGGCACTTCCGCCTCGTGACCATCAGCGCTTTTGCACTCTGCTAGGCCTTGTGCCCACTGGGCCTCACTTGCTTACCTCTTGACCTTGCTTGTATTGCTGCATATATATATCCTTGCTCTTGCTTGTTTAGCACTGTTATATATATATATGCTCTGCTGCATGTGAACTGGCCTTGTGGCCTTGACCTTGTGCTCGGAATTTGTGTGGTATCCTTGAGATCCACCCTGAGCTTGCTTTGCTTTGCTTTGCTTTGCTTGACTGGTCTTGTGACCCCTTGCTCTCCCCCACTTTGCCTATGGGGGTGTGTCAGATGATTATATTGCTGATACATATATGTAGGCTGTAGTGGGGTAGCCTATAGGGGGTACAACCCAATTAGGGTTGGTACTTGTACTTGTTTCATTTCATAGTGCATCCATTCTCTCTCTAATCTCAACAAGCTGGGCTGCCTTCTCTTTGCAGCCGTCACCTGTCGCCCAGATCTGTCCTACTCCGCAACTCAACTCGCCACCTACCTCAAGAGACCCAAAACAGAACACCTGGCGGAGATCGACCGCGCACTATACTACTTCGTGAGCACCTCGACGATCGGCCTGACATACTATAAGAGTAAAACTGCACCGACGAAACTAATCGGCTACGTCGATGCCGATCACGCCGGCGATTCAGACAACAGGCGCTCCCGCACTGGCTACATCTACCGTCTCGAACCTATCGGACCTATCTCCTGGAAATCGAGTAAGCAGGAACTAATCGCTCTCTCCTCACCTGAAGCAGAATATATCGCCCTCTGCTCAGCCACCAAGGAAGGACTCTATCTTCGCGAGCTGCTGGAAGAAGCGAAGTTAGCCGAGTTACCCAACTTCACTCTGTTCTGCGACAACCAATCTGCGATTCGCATCGCCAACAAGAGCGGATTCGCGAACAGAACAAAGCATATCGCCGTGCGATATTTCTTCGTGAAAGACGAGATCGAGAAAGGGAAACTCGAACTCTCCTATTGTTCCACGACCGAGATGGCAGCTGACTACTTGACCAAGAAGCTCGGAAAACAGAAGTTCGAGTATTGCATGCTGCTGACTGGACAAAGCCACGTCACCATCAGCGACACTCCAGAAGCGAAGGGGAGTGTTGGGAACAAAAAGTCTTAAGCGCCTCTGTCGTGTCGAAACTCAAGACACAAAGCGAAGCAGCTCAAATCGAAGCACCGCGAGTCAACCCTTGGAGGTTAAAGTAACCGCTGGGGGTTACGCGAAGGTCAAAGGTCAGCGACCTTTGACTTGACAAAATGCAGCGCAACAGCAAGGACACACAACTGACTCGACATTGAGCAGTTGCCCGAGTCGCACTGTATCGAACCGCAACAGTAAAACAGTTTAATTATATCTCTTCTTATTCTTTGTACTCTTATATAAAACCTTTGTATTTGCTTGTTTTAAACAACTTACTTTGCCCTCACATACTAGCGCAAGGTGGTTCAAGGACTTCATTCAAAAACGCTTCCGCTATTACATCATTCTACTCAGAACTTTAACTCTACAAAGATCCTAGGGCGCCTCAGCCCAACAAGTGTAAACTTATGCATGACAGTGGACTGCGTGGAGTCTGGGTTGTGATTTCTAGCAAGTTTTAGGTCATTATTGGTTACTTCTCTAAAAGGCTAATTCTGGCTTATACATTCTTTGTGGTGGACAACCTCACAAATGTTGGTGGGTTATGGATATCTTTCAGTAGACCACACTTTTTAGAAACTTTCTTGATCCTAGCATGGCTAATGGCCTCTCAAGATACCTAGACTCAGGTGGTCCTAAGAGTCGGCTGTGTACATTTAGTGTCAAGGTCAAATGCCGGTAGTTATTTCACCTCACCTCACCCTCGCACTCAGCCACACACTCGCCCTTGCACACCAACGCATTCCGCCACACACACAGCCACACACTTAGCCACGCAATTGCCCTCGCACTTACCCTTGCTCTCACCATTTTCTGGCCAAAAATGTCATGATCCTTTTTCCATACCGTACATTTTTTATATATATAACACATGGTACCCTCACCCCAATTACCATAGGCAAAATAACAACTAATTTCAAGGGGATTCTAAAGAACAAAAACCTGGGGAAGAGCACGCATAGCACACATGGATATTCACGTGGATGCATGTGAGTCACATGCACATGTTGCCTTTGTGTGAATCAGATGCACTTGTAGCCCTTGCAGCTGCGGACGAAGGGAATGCAGATGTGACCCGGGCAGGACTTGCGCGAGCAGGCACGGCGCTTCTTCTGGCACTTATCAGGGTTGAGGGCTGTTGGCAGGGCAGTAGGAGAGGAGGGGAGGACAGGGTGGGTGTGATGTAATTGGATTCATGAGGCTGTGTGTGGAGACGGATACGGTGCCTCACAAAACATACCTCAAACAATCTCACATCCCCACTGTCCGACTCTCCCTCCTACCCACCTCCCTTCTGTCACTTTCTCCCTCCTCCTTACCCTTGCGATCACACGAGTCGCAGAAGTCAGTGCAGGCACGGCAGAAGGCTGTGCCGGAGTACTGCACCACCTCGCACTCCCCGTAACCGCATGGCGTCGCATTGTGATTGACATAACTGCCAGACAGCGAGACCAAGCAGGAGGAAGAAAGGGGGGAGGAGGTGGAGGGGAAGGGGAGCCGGCGGGGAAGGGTTTGGAATGATAGTAGGTTTAGGTCTTCTAGGATGGAAATATGGAACGGCAAGCAGGGGTTAAGCAGAGGTCAGATGTCAAAGCTACGAGGAGGTAGCAGCGGGGAATTGATGCAGCTTCGTGGTGAGGCAAGAGTGGCAATCACAATAGGGAGGAGTTTAGACGACAGGCCATATTGCGGACTTGAGGGCACGTGTGTGAATGAGATGCGGAAAAGAGGGTTGGAGAGGGGGGAAGAGAGGGGCAGCTGACAAGAGAGAGAGAGAGAAAAGAGAGGGGAGAGTGACTGACAGGTACTGCAGATTGAGCATGGCGCCCATGGAGGCCGGGATGGAGCCCGTGAGTGTTGGTATGCGCAGGTCACTGGGGGAGTGGTGGCCATGGATAGCAATGTGCATGGTGGCAAAGGGAATGGTGCATGGAGGCATGTGTTAGGATGCATGGTAGCATGTGTTATGATCCATGGATGCATGTGTTAGGATGCATGGTAGCATGTGTTATGATCCATGGATGCATGTGTTAGGATGCATGGTAGCATGTGTTATGATCCATGGATGCATGTGTTAGGGTGCATGGCGGCATGTGTTAGGGTGCATGGCGGCATGTGGTAGGGTGCATGATGGCATGTGTTGGGTTGCATAGCATGTGTTATGATCCATGGATGCACGTGTTAGGGTGCATGGCGGCATGTGTTAGGGTGCATGGCGGCATGTGGTAGGGTGCATGATGGCATGTGTTGGGTTGCATAGCATGTGTTATGATGCATGGTGGCATGTGTGGGTTCATGGTGGCATGTGTTAGGGTTCATGGTGGCATGGTGCAGCAGCAAGGATGAACCACAGGAGGATGGTGACGAGGAGAGGTGCGATCAGCAGGAGAAGAGGACGATGCAAGGGGCAAATGAGACCATGTGGTGAGAAAGGGTGAATGAAAGGCATGAAAGATATTAAAGTAAGTTAGAGACAACTGGGGCTGGCCTTGACGCTCAAGGAAGAAAAGAGAGGAGAGGCGCCTTTTGAGTTTTGAGGTGCGCCTCAATTTCTTGTAAAGCCTTGCACATGTTACACATGCATTCTGTTCCCAGGATGCATAACGTCCCATCTTGTTTTCCCAAGTCAGGATTACAGGCGCAAGAGGTTTTGCATTTTGGTGATGACGGTAGGAATGTTGCCGGTTAGCAACGTGTAGCTTAGATCACTGGTGGAAGGGACAATCGGGGATGAGGGCGAGGGAGGGAGAAAAGGAGGGGAGGGGAAATAAGGTGAAGATGACACTCTGTCCTTTTCAAACTGCATTGCAGCCACCAATATTCAACACAGGGGCACGAGTATTCAGAAACGCCCTTCAAAGCCCTTGAAGCTGGGCTGTCACCAGCACCAGCACCACACAGCGTGAGGGTATGGAGAGTAACCGTGGAGTGAATTGCCTGTGGGACTCCCACATGCTTGTACCTACCAACACAAGAGCTGCCCCACCCCCATGTTGCCTCGTTCAGGACTTGGCCCTGTTACTCACTCGACAAGTCTTTTTGCAGAATATAATACCACCCTCTTGTTTTGAGTGAGACACGCAGGTGCATGTGCAAGTGAAGTGCATAGGTGTGTGAGAGACGGAGGCATACAGGTAGGTGAGGAAATCGAAGGAGGTGATGGAAGAACGGATGCTGCCTGTGATGTTATTGTTGCTCAGCTTCCTGCGAAGATATGGATGGTGGGGTAATGGAGGCGAGGAGATGAGGTGGTTTGGGAAGACAGATGGTGGGGGAGGGGAGGGGCGGAGGTGCGGTGGAATCTTGGATGCACACAGAAAGGCAATCACATGCTCACATGCTCACGTAATGCCATGCTCGCAGCTCTAACGAGCCGCAAAACAAACAACTCACACAGTCACATGCACTCATGTACTCGCATGCCCTCATGTGCTCACATGTGCTCCAATTGCACGCAGCTGAAAGTCGAGATGTCCTCTGAAAGCTTGTTCTTGCTCACATCCCTGACGAGGTCAACAGAGGCAGGTGGGCGATACAACGAAGCGATGGACGAGATGGGGGGAAGGGGATGAGGAACGGCTCTCAGGCACTGGGCTGGGACAATAGTCACTGCTTTAGCCTCTCTTCTTCCCCTGTTCACACAGCTAGCCCTCCAATGGTCACTCCATACCCACATACTCTCGGAATCATCCCATACTCACACATATCTGACAGCACCCCATACCCTCACTGTCACACTGTCACCCCATGCCCACATACTCCCTTTCCCAAACTCATCAGTGCCATCAGTGCACGCCAGCTCTAGGAGAAGCCCTTTGGGATCCTCAAAGCGTTTGGGTCGACCCAAAGGTTACTTCAGCACTAAGAGAAGCTTTTTGAGTCGCCTCAGTGTGGTGCACTTATGCACTAAAAATGACCGTTGTCTTAGTGCCACCACTCGCTTCACAACACAATGCCCCAGTTGGATTTTTGCGAAATTTCGACCGCTAGCTAGCTAACTACCCTACAAACCACTGCTCCCATGCGTATCCATCCAAACTGCACGCGTGTCTCTAACGTGAGTGTTCCCGTGCACGCACACACTAGAGAGGCCGGTGGGCTTGCATGCACCACCTACAGCTTACGTGTCTCACGATTCATGCCTCTCTGCTTGCTAAGGCATGCCATACACATCACATCAAGTACTGGAGCACAACTCACAAAATGCGTAAATATTCCATAGCACTCAAGCTTTCAGGGATAGGAGATTCCAATGCATTGCCGTCAAGCCTCCTGGCAGATAACCAGGGGGAAGAGGGGGGAAGGAAGGAAGGAGAGGAATAAATAACGAGAGAAACGGGGGAAGGTTAAGGAAGGAGGAGGGAGGCGCAAGAGGAGGGAGCGGAACAGACCGCGAAACTGCTCCACCAGGTCCGGCAGCGCTGGTCGGTTGCTTTGCAACAAGGGCAGCCGGTGAGCTACCTCACCAAGCTAAACATGGCCGCCCAGTCTGAAAACCCGCCGGTGGGAGGCCCGGACGGAATCCTTTTCCCGGGGGACTGTTTTGCAACCTTGGTGGAGCCAGGCTTGGAACTCACGTGAAAGAGAATTGTTTTTTAGGCGTCTCAAAAGCATTCTTCTTTCACGTGGCGACCCTGGAAGTCCAGTACTGGCGAAGATACAAGCAGAGAGCAATGGATGCAGCGGTAGGGGGGAAGCTGGCGCTGCAGACACACTCCTGCCACCCCTTTAACCTCCCCTCCACAGTGGCAGGCACAGCAGTTGCAGGTGCAAAGGTGGCAGACGTGCAGAGCGGAAAGGACGTGCAGAGAGGAGAGGTCCAATGTACGGAGGGGGGGAGACGGGGGCACATACAGAGAAGAGAGCCAGAAGAGATTGGAGATGGAAGAGGGGATAGTGCCTGTGAGGTTGTTGTTTGAAAGGATCCTGAACAGTGGGCCATGCATGTGGGCAGACAGAAAGCAGGGCACTGAGTTAATGAATCCACGAAATAATGATCACGATTTGAGACGCCCCATGATGAGTCGTTGCTTGAGAGCTGCCTGACGGGTGTACCTTTCAGGTGGGGGACAGAGGTCGGAAGAGGGCGACAGAAGGCACTGAGTGAGGGGACAGCTAGCAGAAAGCAGCAGCTTCAGTAGACCCTAGAATCCTCACAACCGCTGAATCGCACAGCGGCTTCAGTAGTCAGGGCACCCACCTGCACATCACACTCCCCCTCACGCACATTCGATAAATGCACCGCTCACTCACAGGGTTTCCACATGACGAGCTCCCTCAGGGTGGTGGAGATGTTGTCGGATATGGTGTTGTTGGATAGCTCTTGAGAATTCTCAAAAGTCACACGGATATGGTGTTGCTGGATAGCTGGTAACATCCGTTGCTGGATAACTGGTAACATCCGTTGTTGGAGGCTCAAAAAGGACGTCAGGCTGTCCCACCAATACAGGCAGAGGTGGTCAGTTGGCCGCACTACAGCAGGGGCAGGCAGTGGCACTGCGCCTTCTCAAGACAAGAAGGTTGTCGTGAATCCCCCTCTGCTGTCCCTTCCTTCTCACTCTCCTTTGAATCCCTGCCTGACTTCCTCCTCCCTCTCCTTTGGCCTCTCATCCAGGTGACCGGCTCATCCCTTCTTCCTCCTGACGTATGTAATCACTCTGTTCTGATCCCCTCCTCGTATCTCAGGCTTCCCTGCCCCCTCCCGTGACGGAGCACGCACCCGAGCTGCTCCAGATACGGGATCCAATGCCTGAGGCTTCTCCCTTCCCGCCCTGGCCACGTTGGTGATATGCTCCTTCATGTACTTCCCTCGATCATCCTCCAGTACTAGCACCCCCGACTCCCTTACCTCTTTCACCCTCCATCGCTCCGGTCCCACAGCTAAGTCCAGAGTATCTCGCTTAGCCCTGCGCAGGTACACCTCCTGCCCCGCTTCCACTTTGTCACTCTTTCCTCCCATCCCTCCTGCTTTGCGCTGCTGGTACCGCCTTGCATCCCTCAGCTGCGCCACGTGTAGATTATCCAAGGCAGCTGGAGTCAGCTCTTTCAGATACCTCGCCCTCTTCTCCGCTAATCCCGCCCACAGGCTCGGCTCGTCCGCTTCAATTGTCGCCGAGAGCAGCTTCGGTGCATCCACCGGTAGCACCGGGTCCCGTCCGTACAGTAGATGATACGGGGACAGATGCTTCAGCGCTGCCTGCTTCGCAAACCGGTATCCTGCAAGCACCCACCAGAGATCCCTGTCCCAACTCCTCTTGTGTGTCTCTCCATAGGCCCGAAGTCCTTTCTTCACGGTTTGTATGAGCCTCTCTGTCAGCCCGTCCGATTGAGGGTGATACCTTGAGGTGACACGATGCGTGATGCCCATCTCTTCTAGCAGCTCATCAAAGCTCCCTTGAAACTCTGTCCCTTGATCAGTAAGCACCTCTCCACATGCCCCGTACCTGGTCAGTACTAACTCCTCGAATGCGTCCACTATCAGTGCGCTACTCTTGCTTGGTAATGCCCGCGCCTCCACCCATTTGCTCGTGTGCTCAACCATGATCAGAATGTACTGCTTCCCTCCTTTTGATAATGGTAACTCTCCTGCCAGGTCCAGCGACCACCTGTAACCTAACCCCTGAATCGGTAGTGAGTTCAGCTCCTCCCTCTCCTTTTCCAGCCTTGCTTTATTCCTTTGACAAGCCTCGCAGCTGGCTACCAGTCCTGCCACATCCTTCCCCATGCTTGCCCACCAGTACATGGTGCTCAACAGCTGCAGTGTCCTGGTGATGCCGTAATGTCCTAGCTTTGCATGCACCTTCCCCATGATCCTGTTCCTCTCTTGCGGCTGCGGCACTACCCTCCATCCTTCGCTGGTCCTCAGCTGCAGCCGCTCCTGAAACCATCTGTAATGCTGCCCTCTGGCTCTTGCTCTCTCACTAACGCCTTCCTCCTCCAGTGGCTCCCCTTTGATCCAGCTCATGGTCTCCTCGTCCTCCCATATATCTGCTAACCGCTTCTCTCCCTTCTCCTGCCCCCAGGTCACGGCCACGGCGTGGGCTAAGGCCGCCAGCTGCGCTACCGGCTGCATCGGTGGTGGGTTCCTTGACAGCCCATCTGCATGCTGCAGTGTTTTACCCGGTCGGTGCCGGATCTCAAAGTCGAATCCCAGCAACTTGATAGCCCATCGAGCGTTTCTTCCCGTCAGCTCTTGATTAGTCATCAACCATAGCAGTGGCTGATGATCAGTCACTAATGTGAAGTGCCGGCCCTGCAGGTATACCTTGAAATGCGTGATTCCCCACACTGCCGTCAGACCCTCTCCCTCGTATGAGCAGTAGTTAGCCTCGGATGGGCTGCAGCTGCGGCTAGCAAAGGCTATCACTCTTTCCTCTCCCTCGATTTCTTGGCAGAGCACCGCTCCCATTCCCGTACTGCTCCAGTCCGTGTACAGGATGAAAGGCGCTTCTGCCCTCGGTATCTGCAGTAAGGTCCCTGTCCTAACTGCTTCAAGCAAGTCCTGCCTTGCTGCCTCCTCCACCTCTCCCCATTGCCAGCTCTTCCCTTCCCTCAGCAGCTGGTTCAGCACGTAGGCGCGGCGACTGAAGTTTGATACAAACTTCCTGTAATAATTCAGGAAGCCGAGTAACGCCCGCAGCCCTGTCTTGTCCTTTGGCGCTGCCGTGTTCTCCAGCACCTTAACCTTCGCCTCTTGTATGGCCAGCCGACCGCCCTTCACTTCAAACCCCAGGTAGGCCACCGTGTGCCTCGCCATCTTACACTTATCTGGGTGACACGTCAGCCCTGCAGCTGCTATTGCCTCTAGAGTCTGCTTCAGATCTTGCACATGCTGTTCTTCACTGCTGCTGTAAATCAACACGTCATCAATGTAGCAAGCGGCAGCTGGAATCCCCTTCAGCACTTGATCCATGGCTCTCTGGAACACTGCTGGTGCGTTACGAAGCCCGAAAGGCATAACGTTGTACTCATACAACCCGTCCACCCCGTGAAATGCAGTTTTCCGTTTATCTGTTTCTCTAATGCCTATCTGATTGAAGCCCTGCCGCAGGTCCAAGGTGGTAAAAACGGTGGCCCCTTCCAGCCGGTCGAAAATGTCTTCAGCAGTCGACATAGGGTATCTGTCAGGGCTTGTAATCTTGTTCAGCTCCCGGAAATCCCCGCACATCCGCTTCGCTAGAATCTTTCCCGTGATGTCCTTCCTAGCAGCTACCACCGTGGCCGCCGCGTAACTTGATTCTGACGGGCGAATAATCCCTGCAGCTAGCAACTCCTCACATTTCTCTTTGCAGATGGCTGCATCCTCCGCATTCATTCGCCTCCTGCGTTGGTATGTAGGTAGCTCGGTCGTGAGGTTCAGCTCTAGCTCTCTCCCCTTGTATCTCCCCAATTCCTGCAGGTTATAGGCGAAGGTGCCCCTATGCTGCTGCAACACCTCCTTGATTGCTTCAGCTGCTTGCTCCCCTATACATGCCCCCAGCTCCCAGGTTTTGTCCGGCTCTGCTTCCTTGCCTACTGGTGGTGCAGTATCGATCTCCTTCTCGTCTGTGAGCTTGCTAACAGCGGTGTAAGCAGCTTGCTTGCCGCCCCTGCCCTTCTCCTCTTCCGTCTTTCCCCTTTTCTCGGCTGGCCCCTTTCTCATCTCACTAACTAGCCATCGCAGCGAGTGCTGGTCTATGGCTCTGCCCAAGGCAGCTTTGCGCACCTCCTCCCCCACTCCGTCTGCTGTTGTTGCCCCCGGCAGGTACCCCATGGCTAATTCCCACTCCAATGCCGTCGGCTCCTCCCATCTTTTCTTACGGTGATCGTACACCATCCCTGGACCTGGAGTCCCTTCCACTTCGACAAATCCCCGTGCCTTTGCGTAAGCCACCAGTGTCGGCCAGGCCCTCCTAGCTTCCCCCACTCGATTACACTGATACTGTCGCGGATGATCTGGCTTTACCACTGGGGCGGCCACTCTCCCTGGTTCCAGGATGTCTTCCACAATTCGGCTCTCATCTCTCTCCACCCTTGCGAATCTCGCCCTCAGTTCTCCTTCTGGCAGGACGTTCTGCCAGTACTGCCGCACTCTATGACACCTTGCCCCCAGCTGTGCCCCGTCACAACTCACTCCCCTTCCCAATTCTGCTTCCACTAGCTCGCGTACGGCTCGGACCGGCTCCCTGATATCACTCCTCATATCCACATGTTCTAGGATGTAAGCATATTCCCCGCCAGATTCTCTCGCCCACCTCATAATCGTCAGCAGTGTTGTCACCATCGCCGTGCGGTCATCCTGCATTCCTCTTCCCTTCCCCGCTCGGGAAGTACCCTGGCACTCCCACCCTGCTACCAACAGGTCCACCTTTCCCCAGCGGTTCACATCTTCCCTGGTAAGCTGTCCCACATCCCACTTCTCGTTCTGCATGGCCTCCCGTATCACTTCCTTCGCCAGTTGAGCTGGGTAACGCTGCTGCAGTATCTGTGCATGCTTCCAAGCCATCCTCCTCACCTCTGGGGCTATTTCCACATATACCCATCTTTTCACCTTCAGGCCTGCTTCCAATGCCGCCGCTAAGCCTGCCCCCAACCCTCCAAACAGCTCCACTAAGGTAACGCGTCCAGGTTAGCTCCGACCTTGCCCTCTTTGGTACTCCCCCTCCTTACGCTCTCTCTTCTCTCGCCCTCCGCCCTCCAAGCCTTCTTCGGTTCTGTCTTGACAAACCGCACCGGCAGCTCACTCAACTCCTTTCCCTCGATCCAAAAATCCGAGCGGTAGAGCATCTGTTCCTGCCAGGTACATATTGTTGTACCTATCTTGAACAGCAGCTCCATCCCCAGCAGAACATCATAATCCTCCGATTCCGTCAACCCACATTGCACTCTTATCGTCGTTTCTCCCTTCTCTCCCGGCTGCAGAGTAATCTCGATTGGGTCCTTAGTACAGGGCATCCACTTTGGTGCCCCTCCCTCGGCTGTCATGATCAGTATGCCTCTGTTTACTATTTCCAAGTCCCCATTCTCCCGTAACTGTTCTGTCAGCTTCCTTCCCAGCAGGACACTCTATGCGCCTGTATCCACTATGGCGTTCTCCACTGGTATGCCCCTGACAGCCACTGCCTTATGTTCTACCACCAGAGCCGTAGGTTGGCAGACGAGTCTCTCCTCAGGATGCCGTCGAGCCGTCCTCGGCTTATTACTTTCTTCTCGTTGCCGAGGGGTTCTCCTTTCAGGCTGCTTCTGCTCTGTCCTGCCATCCTTCCCACCGCTGCGCAACCCCAACTCCTCTCGGTCTCTAGGTGGTATAGCCATGGCCCCGTACTCCGCCTCCTCTCTCTCATACTCCTCCTCTTCATCGTCCTCCCAAGCCAGCAATGCCTTCTCAGGGTCCTCACTAATCCCAGTCTTCTCCAGCTGTCCCTTCAGCTTCGCCAACTCTCTCTCTAACTGTAACTCCCTTGCCGATTTTCCTCGCATTCTCTCTCCCTTGCTGTAGCACCTGTCTTCAGTATGCCCCCTTTTCCCACATCCGGTGCAAATAGGTGCCTTGGGGCAGTCACGTCTGAAATGTCCTTTCATCTTGCATGTGTCGCACACTATGTCTATGGCGCAATCCTTCCGCACGTGCCCCTTTTTGCCGCACTTGTAACACCTGCGTCTATCTTCAGATGGCCTCTCTCTTGGTTCCTCTTCCCCCTGTCTCCCTTCCACCGCTGCCCAAGCAGGCCTCCGACGTTCGCTCGGCCGATTGGAGCTTGACCCCCTCATTCCTCCGAAGAACCTCTTTCCATCCTCCACTTCTTTCGCCACCTGGTACACCTGTCGCAGCTTCGCGCGTACCCCCAAGGAGTATAGTCGGCTTTTCATGTCTCGTATCAAGTCCCCATCCAGCCCGTTGACGAACTTGGTCACTAGGATGCGTTCCTCCACGCAGCCCATATCCTCTACCAGCTCCAGTAAACGGTTACAGTAGGCCAACAGCGACTCTGCCGGCGCTCTTATGAAGTCTTGAAACTCCGCCATCCGGTTAGCCGAATGCCCCGGGAACTGCTCCTGCAGGCTATCCAAGAAACGGTCAGTAATCTCTGCCGGTAAGATATCTCCTCTGTTGCTCCGCATCAGCAGCCCCTGCCTCTCCACGCGGTAATGAGTCAACGCCTCTCCTTTGAGAGTCAACGCCTCTCCTTTGAGTGTCCTCCCCAAGCCTCTGAAAAAATCGATAGGATCCAGTCGCTCCCTGTCCCAGCAGTAGCGAATGTCTTCAATCATCATCAGGTAGTTTTTCAGCGTGGGCTCCTCTCCAGGTGCCCCCGAGAAGCGGTCTGGTACCTCAATTTTGGGTGGTGCAATACTCATCGACCTGCCTGTCCCCCAGCTTGTGTTCCCTCGTTCTCCACTCCCTGCAGGTCGCCCTGCTCTCCCGGCCTCCGTGGCTTCGTATCCTCCGGCAGAGAATCCGTGATATGCTTCCCCGCCTCGCTGACTTCGTCGTTCCTTCGATTGATCGTCTCCTCCCCTCAGACTACGCCTTTCTTCTCGTTGATCTTCTCCTCCCCTCAGACTACGCCTTTCTTCTCGTTGATCTTCTTCTCCTCTCAGACTCCGCCGTTCTTCTCGATGATCTTCCCCTCCCTTCTGACTCCGTCGATCTTCATGTGGATCGTCTCCTCCCAGATCTGGATTTCCTCGGCGAGATCCACTCCCCACAGGTCGCTCTCCACTCCCCTCCGCAGGCGAGTCGCATGCAGAGCTCGGCTGTTGTTCTCCGTGTACACCTCGTTCTTCCTCCCGATCCCCGCCTTGGTTACCGCGTGGGTTCGTCCCTCCTTCGCCTGCCCGAAATCCAGGCATCCTGACCGGCGGATCACGTCCCTCCATCATCCTCGCCGGGAATCGGTGTCCAGAGCGCAGTTGATGAGTGTGAAGCTCGCGGTCAAAATTACTCATTCCTCACGGTGCATCACCGCGAGCAACTCCAGGCAGTAGATCCTGCCACCTCTACTCTCAACAATCGTAATCCTGACCACCCTTTTTGCTTGTATGAAACAAGGCTTATCTCCCTCGCAAGGGCTCCACCGATTTACTTCAGCTCCTCTCTACTGCTAGTTCCCCGTGGATTAGGAAAGCACAATTGCAGTAAATGAGAAACATACAAGCAAAAAGCAATGAGTCTGAGCGCTACTTCCGTCTACATCCTCTCCTGCCTAGGTGCCTTGTCCCGCAAGCTACCTCTACTCCTAAGCGAGAGTCAGCCGAGCTGATCGCGTAGGCTTCAAGGTGCTAGCTGGGTCCCACTGGGCCCACTAAGCATGCACCGCCTTCCAGCCTGTGAATGTCGAATTGAATTCCCAGGCTGGCTGGAATCGAATTCGCCCTCATCCTCCTCACCAACCCCCTCGAACTCCTCAGTAGCTCGACTCTGTATAGTACAGTAACATTCCAAAAAGAGCAAACAAAGTAAAATGCAAAAAGCAGTAAACTATAGTACACCTCACCTTGGCTGCTGTGGAATTCACACTTAGTTGCCAGCTAAGTGTTAGTAACGCGACAAGGTGCAGGAGCCTGTAATAAGAGTCCGCAGGGCCACTGCCTACCCCCGCTGTAGTGCGGCAGTGGCCCTGCGCCTCAAGACAAGGAGGAGCACGAGCCTGTAATAAGAGCCCGCAAGTGATAGGGCAGGTCAGGGAGTGGACCTGACCTGGCGGCACAACACAAGCAGCTGTAGGACGCATGATGCTCATGAAGGTGCATGAGCTGGCCTAGAGGTCCCCAGTCACTGAGGTTGTGTGCCCTGCCTCGTACCTGCATGTTTCGTCGTTGTTTAATTGATAGGAACGACCATTTTGAGAGAGAGGAGGAGGGGGAGGGCGTGCAGAGAGGTGTGTATGTCCAGGGAGGTGGGGGCGCGCCGGGGGAGGAAGGCATGCAGGGAGGGGAGAGGAGGGCGCGTAGCGAGGGCAGCACATACAGAGTTATGAGGCTGACGAGGTTGTCGATGGAAGGGGGGATGGCGCCTGACAGGTTGTTGTTCGAGAGATCCCTGAAGGGAGGGGCGGTTGGGGTGGGTGAGAGAGGGCGACAGAAGGCAATGAGTGGGGGGATGAAATGACCAAGGGTGAATCTACCTTTAGAGACAGCAGGCAGGAGACAGCAGCTTTTGCAACTACAGAGCATACCTGCCACTCCAAACACCTGTTTGTTTTACAGTTGATTGATTCAAAGGCCTTCCAAGAGAGAGGGGCAGGACGTGCAGAGAGGAAGGCCCGTGTAGAAATGTGCAAGGAGGTTGGGCATGCAGGGGGGTGAAGGCATGCCGGGAGGGGAGGGGGGGGCACATAGCGAGGGGAGTACATACAGAGTTGCAACGCTGACGAGGCCGGAGATGGAAGGGGGGATGGCGCTTGACAGGTTGTTGCTTGAGAGATCCCTGAAGGGAGGGGCGGTTGGGGTGGACGAGAGGGCAACAGTCAGCAACAAGTGGTGGGCGGTTCAGTCGAAGTGTGCGTCTACCCTTGGGGACGGCAGGCGGGAGACAGCAGCTTCTGCCGCAGCAGCCTCAGTGGACCTGAATCCCTCACAAGCCACAGACCATACCTGCCACTCCCAAGTTGCAGTGCACCACTGGCGTTGCGTTGCAGTGGCAGACAGTGCACCCACCTGCACATCGCACTCTCCCCCACACGCACTGCATGGATCATGAAGCTCACAGGTTTGTTAAGCTGGCGAGGCCCCCCAGGGCGGCGGGGATCGGGCCGGATATGGCGTTGTTGGAAAGCTCCCTGGGTGATGTGCGGTGCAAATGGATGCAGTGCATTGAGTGGAAGGGGGGGAAGAATGGGTGGGAAAGAATGAGTGGGGAAGAGTGAGGGGTGGAGGAATAAACTGGGGGCGAGGGAAGGAGGATGTCTTGCGGAGGGGAAGGAGGGGAGGTTCAGGGATGTGAACGAACGGGAGGGAAAGAGGTGCGTGGGGGAGTAGATGGGAAGGGGTGGATGGAGAGCAGGGGGTGGTTTCACGCACAGTCCGTGCAGATTGGTCAGTTGGGAGAGGTCGTCCAGGCTGCCAGTGAAAGAGTTGTGGGAAAGGCGACTGGAGAGCAGATGGGGCGAGGAGAGAGAGGTTGGTGTGTGATGAGAGGAGCAGGGAGAGATTGGTGCATGCGAGTGTTGAGAGCTGGGATGCATGATGAGAGGGGCAGGCGTTGGGTGAGACAGGTAGGAGAGAAGTGGTGAATGTGAGGCGTGGTGCAGTGTGGTGACTCGTGGTGGGCCGTGCACCTGAAGAGCGGTGGGGGGTTGAGAACTATAGTGACCTGAATACATAAAGCGGTGGAACGTTTTCAGGACCATGTTCAAGATATTCGAAAGCCACCTGCAACGTTGCATGCGTATGGCAACATGGAAGAGAAAATTGAGCAGCTGGGGTCTCTTTCGTACAGCCGTGAGAGCTTCTGCAGCTGAGCAATCGTGTTTGGAATGGATCCCTCAAGCTTGTTGTCGTTCAGGTAGCTGGATTTGTGAGGTGGAATGGGGTGAACGGCACAGCATGGAATGGAGTTGTTCAGATATATCAGAACACCACAACGGGAAGAAGCTATGTGCACAAGAGGAACCGATAGTTTGATTAGGAAATGTGGGGGTTTACACCTATGTTGCCATATACGCGTATAGCGTATACACGCATGCGTATATACGCTATACCCTAAGGGCCCCAATCTAGGGATACGCTTTCTTGGGCAGGTTTAAAAATACCCGGGCACGTTGAAAAAAGCACCCTAGGTATAGTTTTCAGGGGGATTTACGGGGGTTGTGTTTCAGGTTTAATCGATTCCCGATGAGGCCGAAATGCATGTTGATTTTGTGCTCAACATCGGGAAGGTACTCCCTAATCTCACGAAAAGGACGTGGCCTATTGTTATCCTGTGTGAGATCAGATGGCGGGTTAGGACCTGCAGTAGAAATTATCGCATAAGGTACTAGGAGATGTGAGCGACTAGGTAGAATGGACAGGTGGGGGAGAGAAGGTGAAGTAAATTTGACGAGGAACGGTGTGTTGGAGGGGACGTAGTGGAAAGGTTAGAGTTCTTAGATTGGGTGTGGTTCAAAGCGGTGGAACCCTGAAATTCGAAATTGCAACTCCAATGCGAATCCAAACATTGACGCCACATTCCCGCTACCCTAAATCTCTGATGAGCATTTCGACCACGGCGAGATGATCTCTGTGAAAAATGGCGAAATTTTTTATATTCCCAAAAATTTTCACCCTAGGCTGCCCATAAAAAGAAACTCCAAAGTGAGTCAACATATTGAGGGACCCAATAAATGGGTCAAGACTGAGTTGTCACCCCAAACTAGGGTTAATCCTAGATGTACACCCAAACTAAGTTTGGGTGTCTATCTCTAACCAAAACTTGTAAGGTAGATGCAGGTTACAATGAAAAGGATAATCTGACACAACCGACATAGTAACAATCTCTCTCGCTATCTCGTGAGAACATACATGCGGTTAACACCAATCTGTACCTTTCTCACTACTGTTGGAGTAGGCTAGAGCTTGCTCTGGTATTTATTATGATGCTCTCTGCTATTTCGCCATGTATAAAGCGGGTTATTTGAGGTTCAATTCAGGCTCATTTCGTAGCTTTTAGCAATTCAATTCGGGTTTCCTTCTTCTATTGTACCTCAACACTTCACTGACACAACATTTCTCTTGCAATCTTCTTTCACGGCAGCCACGACTCCCTTTCACCTTCTCTTAACAACCACCCCCTCTGTGCAAAACTTACTCGCGCGTCCCCCTCCCTAATTCCCTCCCTCCCTCCCTCCCTCCCTCCCTCCCTCCCTCCCTCCCTAATTCCCTCCCTCCCTCCCTAATTCCCTCCCTCCCTCCCTAATTCCCTCCCTCCCTCCCTAATTCCCTCCCTCCCTCCCTAATTCCCTCCCTCCCTCCCTAATTCCCTCCCTCCCTCCCTAATTCCCTCCCTCCCTCCCTAATTCCCTCCCTCCCTCCCTAATTCCCTCCCTCCCTCCCTAATTCCCTCCCTCCCTCCCTAATTCCCTCCCTCCCTCCCTAATTCCCTCCCTCCCTCCCTAATTCCCTCCCTCCCTCCCTCCCTCACAGGTCAAGGAGGTTCGTCAAGGCGCCTATAGAAGTGGGTATGGCTCCTGTGAGCTTGTTGTTGGATAGCACACTAGGCGAGGGATCAGAAGAAGGAGGGCTCAGAACAGAGGAGAGACGAAGGGTGGAGAGGTAAGTGTGTACACACTAGGATGGGGGGCACAATGAAAGGAAGAGCAAGGATGCAGCATGGAACCAAAAAAACAGAAGATAAATCGTGGGGGGAGGAGAGAATGAGGGGGAAAGGAGGGAATGGGGAAGGGAGGAAGGGAGAAAACTGCTGTGCAGTGCAGTGTGGTGTGGTGCGGTGCTCACAGTTTCTCTAGAGCAGCGAGGTTGCCAATGTCAGCAGGAATGGAGCCTGAGAGCTGGTTGTCATAGAGCATGCTGGGGTCGGGCAACGGCAGCCAGCAGGGCGTGATGGAGGGAGGGAGGGAGGGAGGGAGGGAGGGAGGGAGGGAGGGAGGGAGGGAGGGAGGGAGGGAGGGAGGGAGGGAGGGAGGGAGGGAGGGAGGGAGGGAGAGGAGGGAGGGAGGGAGGGAGGGAGGGAGGGAGGGAGGGAGGGAGGGAGGGAGGGATGGAGGGAGGGAGGGAGGGAGGGAGGATGGACGGAGGAGAGGGTGTGAATATAGAATCTGGGTGGGGGCTTGGGGAAATAAGAGGGGTCGATGCTTATGGGAGGAAATGCATGATAGCGGTTCTGGTGGCTACGCCTTGACAGGTGAGTGTGTGGGAACACGGACAGGTCGTATAGATTAGTGAGGGAAGAGAGGACGGCAGGGATGGTCCCTTCCAGCTCGTTGTTGGCCATGGACCTGAGAGCAGCACACAGCACGCAGCCCGGGATAAACGCAATGACACACTAGCTGTGCGGAGAATAACTCTTGTTTGAGTGAAGAGAAAGCCAAAACAGTGCCAAGAGGTTGATTCTCTATACGCAGACATGCGCGCAAGAGGGAGAGTGATGCACAGTTGTGGTGTGAGCCAGAGGGAAAGGTAGGAACGGACTGTGAGGCAGGGAAGGGCGTGGGAGGGGGCGAGCTACTGACAGGTGGACCAGGTTGGTGAGGGTACTCATTGCGTCAGGGATGGAGCCTCCCAGCTTGTTGTTCTCCAGAGCCCTGTGATGGGCGCATTCAGAGGACCAAGGTGATTCTTGAATTTACAGTGGAGAACGATTGGAATGGAAAGGTTGAGAGAGAGGTTGCATTTGAGGTGTGCAGGGCAAATTTGGGCCAAGTTCATGTTTTTTTGTCGAACTTTCACATTTGAACTTTGCTCGAGCACCGTCAACAAGCCCGAGTCGCACATGGAACAACAAAGTTCAACCGTCAAAGTTCAACTTTAAACAGTAAATACCGAGTCGCGCTACATTTTCGTAGGTTACCCGGATTCGCAGTGCTGTTCGTAACCGTATCCGGATTAGGTAACACCATAATCTGTACCCGCAACTGTCGCAAAACTCGCAAAATGTTCGTAGGGCGCAAAAGAACACACGATTGGATTCACGTAAAAGAAAAAATCCGAATGCAAGTTTGAACTCGCGATCTTACCACTCGAAGGGTTAAATTAACTAGCTGAATCACACTATGACGTGTGTCATTCTGAAAAAAAAAAAGTTGCCAGTTTTTCACCCTGATACAGTCAAGCTACAACAATGTTTAGCCTGTATTAGTCAGACTACCAAAAACATACCCTAAGCCATCAGGGTGGGCCACGCCGAAACCCTGATTAGCCAGGGTTGCTTAAATTTAACATTGGGCCCCGGGCATGGACTGCCTTGTTGTCTATGAGTGCTTGGCTGACAATGATTGGCACACTTACATGATTTTGAGGGATGTGAGGGTACTTATGGTGGGAGCGATGGCACCGGACAGCTGGTTGTTGGAGAGATCGCTGCGACGAGGGACATGCGGGCCATGGGAGGTGGGGGGTGATTGGGACGTTGGCATGGCACGTGGGGGTATGGTGACAGCATGGGAGTAAGACATGGCAAGGGAGGGAGCCATGGGTTGCTTGGTGGCCAATGGCAGGCACACTTAAAGTTCTTGGAAGGCCGTGAGGGCACTTACAAGGGCTGATCACTATCTACGTGAGGACCAAGGCAGCACACACCTAAGGCAACATTGCCCTTCCATGCACCAAACACTACGGGTTGCTGGATCGTCTATGGTTGTTAAGGGTCATCAAAAATCGTTTCAGATCACCTGTTCCTTACGTGGGTAACGATTCGATTGCATGAAGGTGCGCAAGAAACTTCCAATATTCATTTATGTGAGAGGTGCATGGTTTTTTAACGGTCCTGATGAAGACGCTTGAGATCGTCATTCCCTTAAAGCGACGGGCAACTTTTGGCAGGCTTGGGTTCAGAAGTTTTTTTTTTTAACCAGGCTTGCCAGCGCGAAAGTGTTGGCTGGCGAAAACCAGGATTTCGTGCGGACACTTTTCATCTGCAGTAACAGTTCGCCAGGGTTCTGGGTTTTGGTTGGCAAATGTGCACCGTTGCTTTGAGAGAGGTTTGGAGCTCGAATTGAAGCTCCAAATCCCTTCACGAGTTGCACCATCAGCTCTTTTAGTGAAGCAGTGTTTGACATCAAATCTGTTTTAGCTTATATCGTTTTTCACTTCAGTTCTTTCAAGCTCAAGCGCTTTCTCATGTTACCTATGGTTGATGCCCTTCCAAGCATGAGTGACAATGGCTATGTTGCTCGGTTGTCTATGGTTGCCAATTGTTGGTGTTAGGCCCCAATCTCACATTTTGTACTTGTACTTTTATATCCTAGTTTAGTGTAGTTTGCACTTTGTGTTTGGTTGGGTGTACACCCACATCCCAACCAAACCCAAATGTAATCTCCAAGCAATCTCCAACCCACCAATTGGAGATTGGCTTGGGATTACCCTTGATTCCCTAGGATTGCCTCCTGATTCCCTCCTCATCCCTACCTTGCTCATTCCGGATGTACTTAAAGAGCTTTGAGCTCACTACTATAGTATCGATTCTAAGCTCAAGTTCTGACATGGTAATCAGAGCAGCTCAACCGCATACGCGGATCGTGATCCTCTCATCTCTGCGGATACTTGTCCCGCAAACCTCGGGGAAGCCATCGCCAATTTCGTCGCCATTGATTCGCGACATTCATCGGCGGAATTTCTCCCGCCAAACCTTCCCGTCACCATCGACGGAAACTTCTCTGGTAAGCGCATC